GCTTGCTTTTCGTTCATCTACAATCGACTCTATATTCTTCCTCCAACTATGCTAATTAGTTGGTTGCATTTCGCGGCCCAGCTGCGTACCGTAACTAGTACTACAACAGAAACACATTCTGGCTATCGCTCACCTGAACAGAGAAAGAAAGAAAGAAAGAAAGAAAGAGATTCACGACGATTCCTGCTGTGCTACATCACCACCGGTTTTAGAGATCTGTGTTTATCTGACTTGCTTCGGACAACAAACTAGGTTTAATCGATTCTTACTGCCGTTATCACCTTCGTCCGATTCACCAACCGCACACAACACAACTTGAAAAAAAACACGACGATTCTTCCATGACGTAATCTCCCCCGTCCATAAAAGTTTCTCAGCTAAATGTTCGCCGAAGGGACTAAATTTACACTGGCAAGCCATAATCTGTGGGCGAAGTAGTAGTGTTTTAAATTTGGACACTGTGCTGGGTCCAGTTTCCTGTTAACTCCAAATAAATTTACAAATGAATGTATTTCACCGACTGCGTACGGTGTGGTGATTACGACGGTAGAAACTCGGGGATTGTGCCCACCTGGTGAGCTCCGATAGTGGCGAAACCCTTCAACCGCTGTCACGGTGTTTCTTGCAAATCTTTGAGTAGCATTTTCAGCTGAACAACTCTTCATCTCTGAGCACATTACCGTAGGCCCTGCGTGCGCCTCTCGTAGCTTTAAGCGCATGGTCGATACCTGGTGCATCACGTGAGAGATAACACTAGTTTCACCGTAGCAACAACCTTTGTGCACTAACGGGTGAAAATCTGAATTTAGATAGTGCGTGAATGCGCTAATCCTTTTCTTCAGCTCTTTTTGATAAGGATTCCATTATCACTTTTTTACTTTTGCTATTAATTGGGATTCGGCCTCCCACCCACGGAGGACCACATCACGATACGTTGTGCAGTATGGGATTCCCTCATTGCACTCTTCTCCGGTGATTGAACTCACCGGAACGCTGAGGATTAACATCACAGTATTCTGTGGTATATTTGGATGCGTGTTAGGTGCATTTGTGCTACTGGTGCTGCCAGTGTACTATCTGGCGACCGTGTGGATTGCGTGATTGCTGCTTCTCTGCGAAGATTCGAAAACACACCAAGCTTTTTGGAAAATTGACTGATTGCCGCCTACTTGAGCGGCACAAAGCGTTCAGCTTAGATTATCCGGTGTTACCCTCCCTCCTGATGGCCGTTTACCAATGAGTATTACAAACTCATGGGGCGGTCGTTTTTATCCAGACAATCGATATATTCATTCACATATTCTGCACTTGGTTAGTCTTTGGTCTCACGTATGCTTCACACAGAAATTTGGAGCACAAAAGTGAATGATTAAGGTCGCCTCCTAAACTCATCATTCTGAGAATGTTTGTTTTAACACGGTTTCAAAATGGCCTTTGAATGGAGAGCGTACGTTTCAGATGGAACTTGCAGCTGCATTTAGTGACTTTCTGACAAAAAACAGCAGTGGATCCTTCAAATGCCTAATCTCCTTTTGACCTATCCGTATTGCAAAACACGCATCTTAATTCAAACAGTCGAACGAATTCAGCGCATGCATTGTACGCTTGTAAATCGGGTTATTCTAGCAGCTTAGCTAGACATGTGGTTGGAGAACCTGAGGCGAAATTTCGCGAAGTGCCTTTCGGCAGTTACGTTCTGTCCCATTGGGTTGATCATCCGTTTCGGGAACCCAAAGTTTTCTGTTGTTCCCGGAGGAGGCAAATTCTAGGTCCCGATTGCGTTCCTGAAGAGAGAACCTTTCCTCAGCGGCGGCGGTGAGAACATGCAGCTGAACGCCTTATAATGAGAAAGTGCTAATTAGCAGAAGAAAGGTTCCTTCTGTCGACTCGGAATGGCTCTTAGCTCGACGCGCGTACCCACACTTCCCCACTACTGGTAATCCGGACTGCAACTAACTGATTACGTTTGTGCGGAGCTGCAGACCCGGTTCCATTATTCTAAACTGATTCCAGTTTGTGGAAATGGAGTTTGGTGGTCGGGCATTACTTGTGCTTTCGCCTATCCCCCGGTGTTGTTTTCCCCCATCCAGAGGTCTTGATTTGTCCGAAACATTAAGCTCCACACCATCTGTACACTACCATCTTTCCAGTCAGCTATATCTTAGCGGTGGCTGTCTGTTTGTTTATCCACACTACGCCGCAGTCATCTTCATGGTTTTGGACAAATCTACGTGCCAAACGTCATGCGCATTCCATAAGGCCATTCCACATACCTGGACCGCGTTTTTGCCGTTCACCCTGTCACGTTCGATGTGTATTATTTTTGCTAGTCGAAGTTGGTTTGACACGGATGGCAACTCGCTTGCTTGAAACATGCAAACCATGTCTCTCCTCGCTTCTCCCCTTTCAGTGTCCCTGTTTCCCCGGGTTTTGTTCTTTCATGCTTGTTGTAAAGCCATCGATGCTGGTTATTTCTAGGTGTGTTTCACTCGTCAAATATCACAACTCTGGCACTGTCGCTTATGTCCTGGGGTATTTAAATAGGGAGTATCCTGCGACTGGTCTCTCTCGAAAGAAGCTGCTTTGGCTGCGCCTTATGGGTCTTTTTTGAAAATGGGATCACTATAAATCGCTGACCCTCTCCCCGCTACTCACCTTGTACCGTGCACCGATGGCTTTTTTGCTACCTAATGGGCACGTGGTAACCGATAGATAACACGTCAGCTCCAACTTCAACGCCGGTGTAGGATGAGGCTGAGCGTTCTCGGAGCTTTAAATTAGATCAGAGCCGTTGACAGCAATTATGAAGGAGTATGGTTTGCACACGAGCCAGTGGTTGTTCATTGTCTGATGCTTTGTTTTTGAACCTGCGCTTGTGGTTTGTTGGGGTGTAGTTTGCTGCACATCACGAGCTGACTCTTGTGAATTCAAGTGTTGTTATTGTGTTGGCATATTAATAGTTTGGCTGGAATGCTTGATAGCCGATCATCGCACTTGGATTCTGATTGGTCCAATCATAATCTGTGTTGCGTTGTGATTTGTATTTATTGCTTTCTACGGCCACACTGCTGTTGAAATTGTCGTCTCTCATTCTCTCTCCCGGTTGGTTCGTTCGTGATCTGTATTGCGTCGCGGTCGACCTCTTCGTTGTTTGATTGGCTGTGTCATCGTGTATCCATTTGTCAGATTCCTGCGTGGATTTCGGCTTATTCATCTGTGTTAAAATGAGGCCGGGTGACTGCCATGTCTCTCAAATCCTTGTCAGTATTCGTATAGTTAGGTAATCACTTGCGGCACGGAGACTTCCCTTAAGATGGACCACAAGTGGCCTCGGTGTGTAGGGAGCTGGTCTTTATGTGGATGCAACTGGCCAGCTTTCTTGCCCCATTTCGTGTGGTCTTGTGTTCAAGATGGTTCTCTTGCCGCAAGCTAATAAACTCTGTGCTGTTTGGTGCCCCTACTCCAACGTGCTTTCAAATGGATGTAACAGAATTGTTCAACTGCACCGTCCTTACAACCTGGCTTAGTTGATTTCTTATTGTTTTCCAGTAAAAATATATATTCCCTCTGGAGTATCTCTGTTGTGAATAGGTCCAACAACTGTGTAACGCGCAGGTCTAAACAACCGAACCTCCATAATACCTCAACCAATGGATGATACCAATGTCAGGTTATAGCCAATGTCAAAATACGTGACCCTAAATGGTGATGGCATCTTACACTCTTGAGATTCAGCAGTGATCGACCATGTTGTACCCGTACATTTCTACTGGCGCCCAGCGTAACTGCTCCAGTTGTTCCTGAAATTCGCAGTTCGACAAATCCAGGTCCCCATTTCACTGATGTGCGACTTCGGTAAACGACTAAGTGGTCTACATTCCGTCTGCATTACACACGCGAGTAATTCCCTTACCAGTATCCCATCGTTCCTTACCACACACCATTGAAACTCCTGTCTCTCCAAAATTACTCAGCCGAACTCGGTATAACCGTGAGTGCATGGTAGCAGCGGCCCGGTGCGAGCACAACCTGTGGTAATCATATCATAAGTATTTCTGCATGTCTGTTTATTGTAAGGTTAAATGTGAACCACTTCTGCGTCCGAAGATAGGTCGTTGCACACCAGGTAAGCGGCAGTTATTAGGTTGAAACCGTGGAATTAGCAATGGGACTCATCACCTCATCCAACCTTATGGGTATGCAGTTAGCGAATAGTGGATGCAGACAGAGGGACGACCCGATCTCCACTCGCAAAATACAGCCCAATACAACACCCATGTAGAGGGTGATGTGAATACACGGAAGCTTGCAATTGTTGGTTATTTCTATTGAGCTGTTATGAGCAGAGTAAACGGAGATACTGCAGTGGTAAACTTCATTCTCCCTGGTGCCTGAAGTGTACCCCCCGTCGTGATTTGACTGTCTTTGGCTGGTGTTAGTCTTTGTCGAAAGTTTCCCAGCTGTTTCTAATAGCAAACGTTTCCGTAACACGAATGGCGCTTCCTCTCAGCAATTGGAGGGGAGGGAATGGTGTAGTTGAGATCTACTGAAGGACCACAGCGACTGTGTTTATTGGTCCCCCTTTTGGGTGAGTTGGATGCCAAATCTAATTTCGCTTGCCGAATCCATAGAGATGGAAATTAAACGGCAATTGGGTTGGATAGGTTTAGGAAACAAATAAATAAATCGTTCATCTGTAGCGCCATTTCGGTGCCTAGCTTCCATGCCACTAGAAGGAAGCACGAGGGCTGGGATACTGCCAGGTCGCCCAAGCCTAGACAGGGGAAGTCGAGAGGCAGAGGTTGGGTTCGAACCACGGACCTTCCGGTCAGTAAATTCGTGCTCTAATCACTTGGTTTAGGAACTAGTGCTAAAATGTACACGATGCAAATAAATTATGTACGTGCCATTTTACGGTGATGAGGTATGCCCTCGCGTTTACTTCCGATCATCTGTTTTAAAGCCCAAATCTGCCTTCTTGTTCTCTGCCGTTTTCACAGGATCTAACCTCTCTGTACATGGTAATGGAGTTTGTTCCTGGTGGAAACCTCGTGGGTTGGATGGAAGAGGTCGAAATAATCTCTGAAGCTGCTTGCCGGTTCTACGCGGCGGAGACGGTGCTAGCTTTGAGCGACTTACATGCAATGGGTTTCATTCATCGGGATTTGAAGCCGGACAACCTGTTGTTAGACGCAGGTGGACATGTGAAGTTGGCAGATTTCGGTACTGCCATCCGCGTTGATCCCGAAACCCAGTTGGTTCATTGCGATGCCGCCGTTGGCACACCGGACTATCTTAGCCCCGAAGTGTTGCTCTCTCAGGTAACCCTGATTGTTTGGATTTTTGGCTTAAAGTCCTATGTCGCCTACTTCATTTTGAACGTTTTGAATTCTGATGGAATCCACAGTAACTCTCAATAATGTTAGAGGACCTTTTATCATATCAACTACCTTTAAAACTAAACCACTAAAACGCTCCAACCAATTTCCAGATCAGGCCAGCTCTCGTCGCGCCACTGCTGTCGAAATTTTCGTATATAGTTATTTAAACACGTTAGTACTCTTTTTTAAAAGATCATCTCCCCAGTAACATTCGTTCTTCTCCATCGACGCGATTATTTTCGTGCGTTTGACCCTTATTGGAGCTCACCAGCAGTGCATACTTTTGGCCGTCCTGGGGTTCGAATTCTGGGAATTTCAACATAAAAGGCAAGCGTGTTACCACTATTCCACCAGTGCATGTGCCGGAATAGCTAAAGCAGTTCATGCGAGGATATGAATTTTGAGGATACCGGTTTTTTCACCAGACGCCTTCCTGAAGAGCCGGACTTTCTTGAATGGATGAGGAGAAGAATTATGGTTCTACAAATGGCTGATGTGTTCCCTCTGTGAGCAGAAAAGCGCAATAAGAATGCTGCGTGAAATCGATCTATATTTGTTAGTGGAGTTACCCTAGCTTGTCGCCTCAACGAACCGTTTCCTGGATTTGATTCGACCATTGGTTGAAGCATTTTAGCGTTGCAGTACAATCCAAAGGAACTATGGGTGGTACACGACAAGCAAGTATTCATCGGGTTCTCAATAATTTCCATTTTTTTGGTTACAGTATTGTGCGTTCGTCATATCACTTTGTTTTACGATGACTTCTTCCTGGAGAGGAATCAGTGGACTCCAAGAATATGTTGAGCCACTGAACAAGGTTCCAGTGCAGCGTCAAGGAATGGAATAAGCACTAATTCTTAATGAGCCGTATGAGAAACCCTGACGATCGGTTTGGGAATTCATGCTGTGCTCGTACCCGTCAATCCCGCATATATGAATACCTGAAGCGTCCACTTCAGAAAAAAATCGAAGATTTTAGCGTATTCTTACTGGAGCGGTTTAGCCTAGCAGAATACAAATGAAGCTGTGCTTGCAGGGAGATTAAAAACATCATAAACGACAGGTTTAGCTGGGTTCCAGGTGAGTCTTCCGTCAAAACCACCTAGCTTTCAGCGGTCTTACGTCAAACATGGGGCTTTCCTTGGCGGGGTTCCTTCTTCAGTTTGTTAGCATTCCTATCATATTACTATTTTTATCCTCTTCATATAACCGTAAATGCAATTGGTAATATTTTTACTGTTAGCACTTTATCATAATCCTTCTATTTCATATTTGAACGGTAGCTCTTGATACTTGTTTGCTGATGGCACTCGGTGTTCTGCTCCACTAATGGTGGTACATCTGCCTGCTGAATCGTTTCTTTTGTCTCCAGAGTGCACTTTATTCGTTTTCCTTCTCTCCTGATCCACTCACGCATCTTTCGTTTTCCGTTTACATTGCTTTCTTGTAGGCAATAGATGTAAAGCGCTCTCGGCCAATCTGCCAATTCAAACCACTGTCAGTACACATTTTATGACACAACGTACGAACTGCGCCAAACTATTCCGATTGGGCAAATAATCGTATGGTCACGTGTTAGAACTTTCCTCCTCCCCAAATTGTGCATTTAATAGGATTTCCACTGAGCGGGGTGGGGTAACACATACAGTTTGGCAGCTAAATCATCTTTTCCTTCGAACACAAATCCAGATCCACACCTTCAGTTCGACACCAATCAGATACATCCCATACATTTAGGCTATTTTGGCAAAGCACGTGATCAGTTGGCCAACGGCGTCACTGACCTGCGTGTGCACCAGTTCTAAACCTTCCTATGCGTGTAAACCGTTCGGTGTATTCACTCAAGCCGGATTGATCAACTGTGGCGCCGTCACAGTGCTTAGCTGTCACGTAACACAAATCCGACCAGGGTATACAATAATCTTCACAGAGAATGTGTTTCCTTTCTCCTAATCAAATCTCTCCTGTTGTGTGGTTTCCCTTTGAATAGATCCCTCTTAATTGTACCGTCGTTTTGCCCCATAGTGTCATTTGCACTATCTACTGTCCAAGTAAGCAATGTCGTCACATTTAGTCCTTATTCTTTCAGGACTTCTTGTGTCATCGACTCGTTCGTCCTCAAGACTTGAAAGCAATTGCTTCGTGGTCATTTTGTTACCTGTAGACTAGCTAATTGATACACCAAGCCCGTACATTACTTCGCACTGGGAATGAAGGAATGAGGGGTTCGGAGCTGCCAACCAATTCGCGCACAACATCCATGTGCTTTCACTCACAACGCTCGGATGATTTAACATTTGCAATGGAATTACCCAGATCGGCGAACAAGTCAACAATCATGACTGCAACCTGAGCTGCCAACACCTTTTTCAGCTGCAAGCCCTCAACTCTTGTTCTCTTGCTTGGACCCTATGAACTGCCAGGTCCTCCCCTTGAAATCGGCTTTAGCAGTGCTTACCCTAAGGAAGGTGATAGTCCGCTATATTGGTTGTAGGTTGCGTGTCTGCCCTAGACCAAATGTATCAATGAACTTCAGATATTCAGTGTAGTTAATTAGGCGTCACCAACTTGTGAGTGAATTCACCAGGGGGTAAGAGACGAAAGCAAAGGCGGGCACAAATAGAAATGCCATTGTACGTTTCAATTGTTGCTGCATAACTGCATCACTTGGCTAGCAAAACCCAAAGGTCACAAATTCCTTTGCGCGAGTTGCATCATGTGTGCGTGTACGCGCGCGTTCCTCTCTTCCTCTACGTGTGTTGCATCCCTCTCGAGACTAGTAGCATGGCGGTTTGCTTATCAGGTTGTGACGGTTGAAAGCGAAAAAATGTGATGAAATGTGGCGTACCCATCCACTCACCCACCCACCCACATCACCACGGTGGTAGGCTACAGGTTTTCTGCCGATGACGATGATGATGATGATGATGATGACATGGGCAAACGTGCGTG